TTAAGCCCATTATCCAAAGTGAGTTGACACAGAATCAGAAGAATAAGCTCCATATGTACTCACCATCAAACTGGTACTGACTGATTAACACTATGGTGCACAAATGGTGGTGGTGATTACCACGGATTCAGGGGCTGGGGGGATAGACCCACATCTGAGTGATGTGGTGAAAATTGTGGAGGGGAAGGGCATACCTCTAACCCCTGCTAGGGAGAGGCAAAGTTATAAAATGCAACCAAAATGTTTGTATTCTCATATTTCCTTGAAATAAATTTAAATAATAATAATAAGGTGGCCATGCATGGTGGTTCATGCTCATAATTCTAGAAGTGTGGGAGGCAGAGTTGGGAGGTGCTTGAGGCCAGGAGTTTGAGTCCTACCTGGACAACATAGCAAGATCCTATCTCTATAAGAAAATAAAACAATTATTTTGTGTGTGGCAGTGCATGCCTGTAGTCCTAGCTACCTGGGAAGCTGAGGCAGGAGGATCTCTTGAGCTGAGGAGCTTGAGGTTTCAGTGAAGTATGACAATGCCACTGCACTCTAGCCTGAGCAACAGAGAATGATCTTGTCTCAGAAAAAATGCATAAGGAAAATTTAAAAAATAATAAACTTATTGACTTGGAGAAAAAACTGAAACCAAATGTCATCGGGGAGGTTGTACTAATTTAAACTCTCCTTTAAAACAGTTTTATACCTACAGTGAAAAGAGACCTGATGGTAGAGTTTATTGCTTGTGAGCTATCTCAACACCAGAGCACACATGTGTATGGACTAAAGATATGCTCTTGAAGGAGTAAATAAAAATTGGATGCTTTGGAAACAAAGATCGTTTCCCACCTCTGTGAGACACATCTGTGAGAAACGCTGTCAAAAACAGAAAAAAAGATAAGGAACTTTCAGAGTCAGTCCTACTTCCTAAAGAACTTGGTATTATAAAGTGGAGGCCTGTACTCAAAGACATGATACCAAACGAAAACAAAATGCCCTCAGAGATCATAATGTAATAACAAAGCATACTTAAACCAAATTACAATTGTATCTACACTTTCACAGATGGACAAATAATGGCAGAAAGATGGTAAAGTAGATCTCATCTTTTTTCACCTTGCCTGGAACTGTTGGTTCACTTTAAATATCAATGCATTTGATTCTTGCTGTGACTGGAATGCTTGTCACCTCCAAATCTTATGCTGAAATGTGATTGTCATAGTAACACAGGAAAAGGTGGGGCATTTAAGAGGTTATTGGGCCAGGAGGGACCAGCCATCATGGATGGTATTGACGCTATTGTTACACCATTGTTCTGTCTCTTATGCCTTCCCCCAGCCTCTGCATTCCACCCTGTGGTGCTGCAGTAGGAAGGCCCTCAAGAGACACCTGTGCCTTGACCTTGAACTTCCCAACCTCCAGAACTCTAAGCCCATACATTTCTGTTCATTGAAAATTATTCTGTCTCAGAGCTTCTATAGCAAAATCACAAAATAGACTAATACAAACTAAAACACGGAACATTCGGACTTTGCAATGCTATTTACACTAGAATATTGACAGGTTACTTAATTTCATTAAGCTCCAATAAATTACAGTTAAATAACAGTCAGATGTAGAAAAAACCTAAAGAGAACATAAGAAAGATGAAAATATAGATGCCATAAAAAATGAACAAGTAAATTCCACACATTGAAATTGGCCAGTGAGAACTGAAGCTATAAAGAGCCCATATAGAATGAGACATGAAAATTATTGATTATATTTGATATTGACGATGCTACTTATACGAGTGAAAGTAGTTTGCATATTTGATTGAAACCACAAATTAGCTCATATTAAACGGACAATTAAACTTGTGAGACCAGAAAATGTGTAATGTATTCAACTCTTTCAGTTGCTCTATGAAGAACAAATGGGTAGGTTACATCTGGATGGGAGATGGGATTGGAACCTTTTAAATATAATTCTCTATGGAATGTTGATAATAAAATCTCTCAGACATGTCCTGATGCAGGATAGTGGAAGTGAAGGTGACTTTATTTTTGGTCCCAGGCTGCGTAGGCTGCTAAAGACTGGTGCCTTCCTTTGTTGAGTTTTATCCTTCAAAGTCTTTGGGCTGTGACATACTCACATCTTAATTTCTGGACAGGAGAGAAACAATGGACAGAAGTGAGAGGAATCCACCACCTGATAACTCATGCTGCAGAAGTGAATTTGTGTACAAAGAGGGAGGGGATGGAGAATCATTAGCCAAAGGCATATTCAACATAACAGGCTTCCCCATGAAACAAGAAGTTGACATGATCGCTCAAAACTAGCAGGAGGGGATATGATGTAATTCTGTTACACTGTGTCATCTATATATCAACCAGGATCATAAATACTTTATAAACTAAAATCCATAATGTATTAAAATTTCACAGTGTTTTTTTTCTTACTGTTATAATACTGCACCTCAGCCCTCACCACTGGTGGTGATATCAGGATGCTCCAAGGTCCTCTGTGATTTTCTGGCGCAGTTCCTAGAGAAAAGCTTGTATGAGAAATTGAGCCCTCCTCATGTGAAGTCCCTTAAGGGTGACCCATTATCTGGCACACCTTCAGCCTTTAGACATTGTGAAATGTATCTAACTTAATGTTCTTTCTGTTACATATTGCATTTGGTAGTGTCTTTCCAAGATAAGAAAACATATCAGTTTTGTTTGTACCTGAAGGCACCTGTCTCTTTCTGGAGAACAAGGTATTCATGAATATACAGTTGTGTTTCATTACTAGGAGGGTGTGTGTATGCATCTTGGTACTTTCCAGAGTGTCCCACCACCAGGTGGACCACAATAACCAAGCATATGGAAATGCTGAGCTGGTAGATGCCATGGATTGTCTATATGAGTGACCCCAGTGGGGCTCCCCATCTTCCAAAGCAGCGAAGCTCAACCCTTTGCCTAATGTTCAGCAGACCAGTGCTTGCCTCTAAGAGACCTCCTTCAGGTGCTAACTGGCCACCTGATGGCAGGTCGACCAAGTAGGGTAGATACCCAATGAAAGACCTGATCTCATAAAGGGTGGATTCAGTCTTTATGTTGACACTGGTTCCACCTGAGTGTTCTCTGGCTTTCTGACCTTGAAGAAGACAAAATGGACTGAACTGCTGAGATAGTTCCTTCACCCAGTGCAACACGGACATAGTGAGAAGCTCCAGGGGACCCTCCAGACTGCTACAAAGGCTGGATTTTTTTGACAAGCACAAGGGGCCATTTGCATATGACCTTCCTAAATGGACATCAATGAAATACAGCAAAGCAATAAAATGAAGAAATAATCAAACAAAATAAGAATTTGGGGATCGTTTAGAATGCTTTTATGTAAAGTTATTCATATATGAAGTTAGAATGATTTCACTTCAACATTCTTCGGATTATTTTCAAGATTACATAGGTTGAATTTACTCCAGTACCTGGCCCTTCAGCAATGTGGGTATCATACTTATGAGCTCATTACTTTAAAATGACAGTGACTGTCGGTTTTCATATTTTAAAATTTTTGTATTATCTGCATGTTAGGAAGTTTGCAGGGCATAGAAAGAGAAACTCCTGACTGGAAATTATCTCTGAATCCACCTGCAGTTCAGGGACAGGCTTGGCTGTCCCCGTATGCCACTTGGAGGCCCCAAGTGCCCCTGCAGGGCAGGTTCATGTCTGGGCCCACCCTGGATCTGGAGCATGGTGCTCTGGGCACAGTAGTAGGTGCCTGCATCCTCCACTATTACACTTCTCAGCTCCAGAAACACTTGGTTCTTGCTTGTGTTTCTGGAGATGATGACTCTGGACTGAATGCTGGGGCTATAGTTGGTGTTCCCATTAGCCCAGATTACACCAATCCACTCAAGGCCCTTCCCATGGGGAAGGCTGACCCAGGATATGGAATATTTGGAAACCGATCTTGTGTAGGCAGCACAGGTGAGGCTGAGCATCTGTGAGGAGGCCACTACTCCCTCCCCCCATTCACAAGGTGGTACTCACTCAGGACACCTGTGGACAGAAACAAGCATCATTGACACAGACATAGAGCCTCATGCCCATCACACCGTTACTGAAACTGTGGGTAACTGACTGTGGAGAACGGCCAACAGGCAGAGGAGGGCCAAAAGAGGGGCCATGTGTTTCTCTGTGAGGACGGTAGTTCGCAGAGCAAAAACAGAATGTCTTGCTCACACGCCTGCCTGTGTCTCCCCTTGAACCTGAGGCCTTTTTGCATAGGGTTAGGGTTAGGGTTTTTTTTTTTTCAAAGAACACAAGAGGTTTAATTTAAAATCACAGTGTCTCAGCCAGGCTGCCCCATCCACAGGGGGATCCCTCGGATCCAAAGTTCCTCAAGGGGCCTCTCCATGCTCAGCAGCGAGGGTCAGCAGGGCTCACGTAGGGGTCTGGCTGCACCCGGCCCCTCACCGTGACTCTGGAGATGAGGCTCAGCTCTCAGGAGCTTGCTGGGACAGG